ATTGAATTGAGGTACATACCTTCAATACCTAGTTTGTTAAGACTTCTAATCATGAAGGAATGTTGAATTCTGTCAAATGCTTTTTCTGCATTAACTGAAACAATCATAAAGTTTTGTCTTTATTTCTGTTAATGTGGTATATCACATTTATTGATTTGCATATGTTAAATCATCCTTGCATTCATGGGATAAATCCCATTTGATCTTAGTGAATGATCTTACAAATGCATTGTTGGATTCTGTTTGCTACTATCTATTGAAAAATTTCACGTCTTTGTTCATCAGGCATATTGGCCAATATTTTTCTTTTTTTATTGTGTCCTTGTTCAGTTTTTTTGTTTGTTTTTTTCCTTTTTGTCTTTTTTCGTGACCGGTAACGGGATCGCGACCGGCAACGGGATCACAACCCTGGGCGTTGCGCCCGCACTGCGCTCAACCAGTGAGCGGACCAGTCTCTATATGGGATCCGAACCCTCGGCGGGAGCGCCGCTGCACTCTACCGAGTGCGCCACCGGGCCGGCCCCTTGTTCAGTTTTTAATCAAAGTAATGCTGGGGCTTATAAAATGAGCTGGGAAGTATTTCCTCCTCCTCAATTTTCTGGAATAACATAAAGAGAATTGGTGTTAGTTCTTCTTTAAATTGTTTAGTAGAATTTTCAGTTTTTAATCAAAGTAATGCTGGGGCTTATAAAATGAACTGGGAAGTATTTCCTCCTCCTCGATTTTCTGGAATAACATAAAGAGAATTGGTGTTAGTTCTTCTTTAAATTGTTTAGTAGAATTTTCGAGATAGATTTATTTATTATGGGTGATTGATTTTGATTACAAAGTACTAAAATTGTATAATGTTTTTGTCTACTATTTCCATAGGATTGGCGGAAAAGTTGTCTATTTTCTGCCCTGGAAATACAGATGAATACAAGAGTCTATACTAGGGATAATATTTATGTATTGCTGTTACAATATCGTTATGGAAGAAAATTTTGAACTGTTTCGATTACTCTTACTTGTAAGGAAATATTTAAATGGGAACTATGAAAGAAAGGATATAGTTACACATTGTTTTATATTGATAATGAGCACGTTGAACTTAATTCCTTTGAAGAAGTAGCACTTTGTTGGAGTTTCAGTTTTGCCTAGATTATTTAATATGTGACATAGAAAATAAATTTGAAAAATGGTTTCACATCTCTAAATTAGGCCAGTAGTCTTAACTTTAGTACTCAGGAAAAAAGTTTTTTAACTCTTCATATGTAGTTTGACCAATATTTGGTTTGGGGAAGGAGCATTATTTTTGTTGTTGTTGATGTTTTGAGTTACTATTTCTGTGACTAATTAGTTGAATCCTCTCATGTATTCTCTACCACATTGTTCAAGTTGGTCATGAATGAAAGAGAAAAATTGGAGAAAAAATGTGAAGAGAAGCAAAGAATATGGATCAACTACAAATTGCATAATCACTTCATGAATTTTTTTTTAAGTTGACGACTATGGTCAACCATCCAGAACATGGAATGTTTAGAATTTAATTTATTTTCATATATGGTTTAATTTTTTCTGTTTCAGAAAAATAATAAAGACTGACATCTCTGGACATTTTAGACATATCTCCTAATAGTTTCATAATTATAAGAAGGAAGTGCAGCTTTTTCATTTTTTGTCCAAAAAGTGAAGACAATGTCTTAATTATAGTTTATTTATATTTTTTTTGTTTTCAGAGTACATAGTTAATATTTGGAAAAGTTGCTAATGCTTTGGTTTTTGCCTTTTTTGTATATCTCATAACACCTATCATAGTTTAGTGTTCTCAAGATGTTTTTATACGTTTTTCTATGCAGTGTACCATGAAACTAGCTATGTTTTTAAAATTTGTTTTTTAAACTATGTTTTAAAATTTATGCTCACATACATTTGTTGTCAGAATCAGAGAATATGAACAGTTGAAGACATTTGTTGTGAAAGTTAATCCTATCTAATTTTTGAATATAATGAATATAATTACTGATTTAATAAGACTGAAACTTAGTAATTATCTCAGTTCATATGCAGACCTCATTTAGTATATCAGTAAGTTCTTTCTAGCATGAGAAAGTGGTTTTTAAGTTATAATCACTCAAATATTTTACTCTTTTATTAACTTCTAGGAATTGTGATCTATAGGAAGGGTTCTGTAAGTTTGAGGAAACACATTATGACATGATTTCTTTATAGAAAATTCTAGAAGATTGGTATAAATAGTTTATTTCCCTGAGTCATTTCCGTGTAAACCAGTCGGCCCTTTGCAGAGGCAGTATATTAGCTTATTTATTAAAATGTTTCATTAATCATCTAGTAGGAAAAGATATTTGTTTTGTAAAACAGATTATGCATAATTTCTAGTATATGAACTGTACTGATATATGTATTTTATTTGGGCAGAATTACTCAAGTAAAAATATAAGTTGAAGTCTGTATATTTGATAATTTAATCTTAATCATATGTAATTTATAAAAATATCTCTTTTGCGAATTTTGCTTTTAATAAAATAATCAAATATAATTTTAAGATATATTATTTTGTGTTTCAATTTTACATTGTATTTTCATTTAATTTTAATAATTTCCCTTTCTTGTACTTTTTTGGTCTCTTGTCTGTTTTGTCTAATGCATGTCCAGGGTTCTAAGGTTAGTATTACTTCTGCAGTAATTTTCAGGTTTTGAGTTTTAAATTTTATTTTTACTTATTTATGAAATTTTTGACTTGGTTATGTTTTGTTTTTATATCATCTTTAACATTAGACATATTCTTTATATATTTAAAAGTTTATTTAAAAGGATTATTTTCCTAGTGCATTGATGAATGACTATTTTATTATCCACAAGTCTCTAGACTATACTGTCATAATATGATGAAAACAATGATATTACAGTCATATGTACAATCAGGTTTTAACTGGTTCCAATGAAAGTAAATTGGATGAAATATGCTATTTTAAGATTTATTAATAATTTTGAGTGATATGTATTTTTAAACCTTATGATGCTTATATAACATTTCATATGTATAAATTACTCTATAAGAATATAATAAGAATTCTCTTTAGGTTATTGTTTGTGCTAAGAATGTTTTTTACTTTATTTAAACTTTTATTTTTTTAGTCAAAAATAACAGTTTGGCAAATTACATGAACAACTTAATAATTCTGTTTATAATTTCTGTTTATAATTCATGCATTTCAAAATGAAAGCATATTTTGACAGACCTGTAGACTTTCAAACAACTCAAAAATAAAACCATTAACTAACTGATAAAGTGAGGTAGATATCTCATAATTTCAGTGATTCAAAGTGATGAATTTCTTTGAGAACACATCTCTAGACATGCTAAATTCTACTATTTTGAAAAATTATTCAGAATATCTGATAGACCAAAGCAACAGCCAGATCTTCCATCCCATCATAGAACACTTAAATTGAAAACTAAGACTTAAAGTAGTTTTTTTTGCCTTTTTTATAAACTATTGTGTCGTGGTCACAGATTTTTAATTAATTCTGCGAAATGATGCTGTATATCCACAAAGTACTAGTAAATAAGGAATCTGCATTTTAAAATTCAGGTAGTGAATTAATGATGTCTTTAGGCCGTGAATTCTGAATTGGCATAATGTTGTAGACCAACAATTGAAAACAAATTTTTCTTCCATTGCCAAGCTCATTTTAGAGAGAATAGTGTTAATTAACCCTGTTTTGATGTTAAATGGAAGGAAGAAAGATTGCTGTATTTTATATTCCACTTAGAACTGAGTTTAGTTATATAATGCTTGCAGTAGTCTCTATCACTTTTTTTTACTCATCTGTACATAAGTGTTTGAGTTTTTTGGATTTATTTTTTTTCAATCGGTGTTTCCTGCTCACATTTGCATGTTAATGTTCCTGCTTCTTCCAAGCAGTTTAGGTAGAATGATGGATATAAACAATATCAAAATGGAACACTAAATAGGAGCAGATACGTATTACTTATGCTCACCTTGTAGTTGAATTTATCATTTGGTTAAGAGGTAAGGTTAGTACTGATTAACTATTTAATTTAAAATTTCCTGTGTTCAGAAAATTTAAGTGGTAATATTTTTTATTTGTAAAGCATTTCTTACTTTTCTCCACTTCTCAAGGCATTGAGAAAATGCGACCTAGACATAAGGAACAAAAATAATTAAAACATTATATAACACACAGTGAAAGATAAAGTGATAAATATTGCCATTGTTTATAAAACTACAAAGTTATACATTTTAAGAAACAGAATACTTTGTAGTCTTTCTGAAAGCAGGAAATTAGATTTTATCATAGACAATATTTTAGTGAAAGTACAGATTTCACTCTAGAATGTTACTGAGTCTTATTACTAGCTTTTTATAGGTCATGAATTAAATATCCGTAGAGGAGTTAGTGATCTTTATTATTTTTACCCTAGAATTTTTTTGTGCATATGTAGCACCTATTGGTTTTAGTTTATTCTAAAATGGATAGGAAATTGTTATACATTCTAATTTGACAGTCATCTTATTTTGATGCCAAATGAATTGCCATTTATCTTTTCTATCATTCCTCATACATCTGTGGCAAAGAAAAATTAAAGCATATGTTTTTATTAGTGAGAGTGAAGATTTTAGGAAAGACTAATTTTATATCTTTACAAATTAATAAAACTAGTATAAGTACATATATGTGGTTATCTTTACATTTCTTTGTGAAATAATCTTAAGTTTAGAATGCAGTTTTTATAACTAAAGACATTAAAAGCTAATGTAGATTTTAAAATGGACTTTTCCTTTATTCAAGGATAATTGAAAGGTAAACTAACTAAATTTGATAACCAGTCCTGGTGATATATGGAATTAGTTTATAATTTATTTTGTTTACAAATATAGTAAATATGCTAAACTTCTGTTCACCTATAGTATGTATGGACATGTATTATATTTTTTAATTTTAAGCAAAACTTTAAATCTACTTTTTTAAAGACGGAATTGGAAAATATCGAAGTGACACAAGGCATGTCAGCTGAGACAGCAGTAACTTTCCTCAGCCGACTGATGGCTATGGTTGATGTACTTGTGTTTGCCAGCTCCCTAAATTTTAGTGAGATTGAAGCTGAAAAAAACATGTCTTCTGGAGGTTTAATGCGACAGTGCCTAAGACTAGGTAAGTCTGTTAAGAATAACATTGCACATTAAGTAATTACCTACAGATTAGTTTTTTGAAGCTCTATGGTACAGTATAGATGATATAAGTTGATGATTATCTAATGTACAAGATTATCTTGTAATTCTTCAGAATTACTAAATTAAAAAAAAATTATTGTCTTTGCATTGGAGATTTCACCAATTGATCATCTTTAGTGGTTTATACCTAGAAATAGAGTCAGTTATATTTGGAATTCTTTCAAAATCAGTAGGACTTTAGTATATTTCATTGAAGAGGATTTAATGCAAATCTACTTATGAGTCCTATTTTGGTAAACTACTACTGAGGGTAATATCCTGAGCCCACAAACATATCAGAAAACGAATGACATAGTTTTATACACATGATGCTGGAAAGGTAAAATTGACTATCCCAATCTCTGTATTTCTCAGAGTGAACAACTATTTCTAATAAACATTATTATACCTACACTGCTATTCACCTTTTATCTTGTGTTGCAAAGAAAATTTAGCACTGAAAACTCTTAGTAAACCTGGGCGAGCTCTTTAGACAGGAACCATTCTTACCTCTGTTACCTTTCTTAAAGGGAAAATTGATTTAGAACTTTCAAAGAGACCAGAAAGTTGCTCTTTTCATGCTTGCTTTAGAGTATGAGTAGGACATAAGAGCACAAGCCATGAAATAGGGAGGAAATTCCTTGTATATGTTCTTTTTACTATAATTTTTAAAGATTATGTATAAAGTTACCCATCTATAGTTGCAGGGGAGAGGTTGTTTCTGATTCAAGGAAGGAACAACAACTTGGGTTAAGAATGTTAGAAGGAAACATACTTTTTTGGTTTTGTATTTTTTAAAGATAGATAAGCCGAGAGGAATTATTTCTTATCCATTATAAGGGAGAGATTGACCATTTTGGGATCTCTCTGGTAACCAAGAGGTGTGGGTTAATTTACTGTGGGCCGCTATAGACATTTTTACTGATATTTAACAATGGCTGCCAGATTGAACTTTGTGAGAAAGAGGTACAAGAGTACTTCAAACAGTTTGTGGAAAATAGAATTAAAAGACATTATGAATCTTTCCATGAAGTTTTTGAGGTACCCTCATATATATATTTTTAAATGCCTCAAAATCATGAAACCAACATTTACTTGATTAATCTGAGCTTTTATTTTTAAATATATTCCAAGACACATAATCACCTCTTATGTGCTATTTAGTTTTCTAAGCACTTTATATATATTAATTTAATTAGTCGTCACAACAGCCCTCTAAGGGAGTTATCTATGTTTATCCTCATTTTACATATGAGGAAACAGAGGCGCAGGTAGTTTAAGCAGCTGGCCCAAGATCACACAGCTCATACATTGCAGAGCCAGGATTCAAACTCAGGTGGTCTGATTTCGAAGTCTGAACTGTTTATTACATTACTTTTGCTTCTTAAAAAAGATTGTACATACTGAATGCTTATTGCCAAAGGCTCTCCCATCATGAAGAAAGGTGGACATTGGACTTGTGAGACTTGAGTATACTGATGTACTCTATTATTGCCAGAAATGGCAAGTTGTGCTCAGTATAGTCACCAAGATACTCAAATTAAGGGTGGAAGACTTATTAATTAAACATATTTTATCAAATATATATATATATTTTAAAATTTTTTATTCATAAAATTCATAATTGTGAAGGACAGAGGGTAATAGAATAAGGAAGGATATGTTGGGAGCTTCAAAGGCCCTGGTAATGTTCTGTTTCTTCTGCTGGTGGGTAGTATATGGATATTTTGTTTTTATTTTTTAACTGCATATGTATTTTATCTGTACTTTCATCACTATATTTCATAATTTTAAAAAGTGTTTATTGATCTAATTGATTTTAAGAGTAATAATGGAGGAAGGGAAAGAAAGAAAGAAAGAAATTAGCAACTTTTTTAATGTATCAAAGTCAACAATTTAAATTAATAGCATGCTTTTGATTTTTTAAATAGTTTGTTGTGTTGCTGTGAGAAACTGTTTAGAATGTCGGCAAAGACAGAGGGACAGGGGGAACAAATCTTGCCATGGAAGCAGTAAACCTCAAGAAGTTCCCCAAAGTGTGACTGCCACAGTAACTTCAAAGGTAATTAAACATTTTCTATGTTAAACATAACTTATCTGAAAAAAACCTTTAAGTTTATGAGAACAAAGCAAAATGGCATTGCTTAATGGTAAAGAGCAAGAGCCTTATAATAAAGCAGCTGAAGTCTCTGGTGCTGGCTTCCCTGCTTCGTAATCTACTTAACCTCTCTGAGACTTCATTTTTTTGGTTATTAAATGAAGAAACTGATCATTTCTACTTAATTGGGTTCTTATAAGGATATACCACCACATAGCACCAAAATTCTTAGTTAATTCTGTTTTTAATAGTTATATGTGTTTTTTAAAAAAATAGAAAAAAATATATATATATTTTTTCACAGAGTTCAGTGTATGAGTAATGCTCTTTTTAAATGGATGTGCTTCTGGTAGTAATCATCAATAAAAATTTATTGAATGCCCATTACATGATTGAATAGCGTAGACTATTTTGAAATATACCTGTAATTCTTATTGTAAGTTAGCTCTCTTTTATCGTATGTTTAACTGATCCTTGGCATGATATCCAGTTTTATTAACGTGACTTTCAAGGTCCTTTGTAACTGGTCCTTGCTTGTTTCCCCAACTGTAGTTTTTATATTCTTACTGTTTCTTGTACCATTTTAATCATAATATAGACTTCATTCAGTTCATCAAAAGAATCTATTTTGTAACTTCTCAGACTTTTGCATAGTTTCCTTTATTTGAAATGTTCATCTTTATTTTTTGTGTAACTGGTCCTTGCTTGTTTCCCCAACTGTAGTTTTTGTATTCTTACTGTTTCTTGTACCATTTTAATCATAATATAGACTTCATTCAGTTCATCAAAAGAATCTCTTTTGTAACTTCTCAGACTTTTGCATAGTTTCCTTTATTTGAAATGTTCATCTTTATTTTTTACCCAGCTAAAATCAATTCAGTACTCATAGGTTTACCTTAAATGCTACTCTCTCAGGAAAATATATACTGACACCCTAACCACAGCTCCAGTCTATAGTAGGTTCTTCTGTTTGATGTTTTCATAAAACTCTGTATGTTTCTTACCACTCAGTACATTTGTAATTAAATGTTTAATATTGATACAATAATCTTTTGCACAGTAAGTGAAGGCATGAAGTGGAAAGAAGTGTAATTCATTTTAAAAGTTCTATGGCTTTAAACTTCTGCAGTTTTCAAGCAGACCAACCACATATTTATTATGTCTGTTGGTTATTTGCAGTAGTGAAGGCTCTTTCCTTTTACTAGTGCCAGGGAAAGATTTATAAAATAATTGGACCATATGTTATTTTACTGGTCATAAGATTCCACAGGGCTCTCCGTTGCTTAAGAAATTAAATAAACACATCAGTAGTAATGCCTCATCTTATTTGTGTGGGTATAGTAGAATGTTAGTTACTAGCTGGCAGTGTCCATATCTTTTACATCTTTGTAACTCCAGAGCATTTATAGCCTTCTGAGTACTTTGAAAAAGAGCACAAACTCTAGAATCACATAGTTCTGAGTTTGTGTTCTGGCTCTACCCTTTACTGGTTTTGTGACCTGAGACAATTCCTTAGTTTCCTGTGCCTCAGTTTTCTAGTCTTTAAAATAGATACAAATCTTAATTTACATGGTGTTTTTGTCAATTAAATAAAAAGCAGTAATGTATTAAAGTGCTTAGTATTTCCTGGCATGCAGTGAACATTCAATTAATACTAATTCCCTTCCCTTCTCTAGCAGTTAGCCACTCAGTATATACTTATGAAATGAATAGGTTAATTAGTATTTTGGAGAGCTTAGATCTCAGAGGTGTCTGTACTTAATTCAATAAGTAATAAAAAGGCTTTCAAATTTTCAAGCCAAGTATTGCTTTGATTGTAGAATATTGACAGAAAAACCCAATGAGAAGGAAATTTGGAGTAATTTAGTTGAGCTAGTCACTGTCTCACTGGCAAGAACCTTGGCAGTGAAAAATGGATATGAAGTGATAAATGTAGAAATACTTAGGGGAAGATTTCACTTGGTAACAAAAGACATTTCAGGACAGAGAATAAATGGACCGGGGTGTTTTTTGTTGTTGTTGTTTTGTTTTGTTTATTTCCCTCTCAGTGTTTATGAGTTTTTTATGTGCCACTTTAGTAAGTAAACCATAATTAATTTTTTAGTGTGATAGGAAAAGTTTCCTGTCACTAATCTATGTGGAATTGCATGAGTCACATGCCTTCATGGGGCCTATTTTTATTCTGTGTAAAAAGGAGCAATAATAATATAAACTTTTCCTATCGTGTAATCTTTATGAGGATCAAATTAGATTAGGGATATTGAAATACTTGGTAATATGTAAAAGACATATAAATTAAAATATTTCTAATTTTTTCATTTGCTCTATAAATTCATCTGTGCTGTAAATTATGTTATTTTCTTTAATCATCTTGTAATAAATATTATTCGTCTATTATTTAAATGATACAACTGAGGTTCAGAGAGGTTAAGATCTTACCTAAGATCATACAGCTGGTAAGTTTTGGAATTGTAATGGAAACTAGATAACTGTCATCCTTCATATAGCATGCTCTTCTCACTATTTTGTGCTGCAGAGGAATCAAACATTTTAATTTAGGAGTGAAGTATCATGACTGACATCCATAGAGAAGTAGAAGGTGGCTTATTTGTTTGTGGTTACTTAGAATAACAACAAGTACCTAACTATTATGTGCAGGAATTGTATTTGTCACTTTACATATGTTATTTAATTTAATCCACACAGTTCTTAACACACTGTATAAGTAAAAAAGTGCTAGATTTTTCGAAGAAACTGGCTGCTTTACTAACTTGGTATGTGACTGCATTACCAAAAATTTGTAGATTTTTTTTTTCTTCAACTACAAAAAGAGTTTTGGTAGTAATGATCTTTAATGGGCTATGACTAAATACATTTTGGAAAAGCGTACCTTTTCTAATTTTTTATAGATCATGAAATGGTTACACATATAAAATTTCATATAGTAGGGTAATATAATAATCTCATATATTTTAAGAATATGATGGAAAAATGAACCCAGAGATGCAAAGAGACTTATTAACTTGACTTAGGGAAAGTAAGCTCAGGAAATTTTAGTAACTAACACAAGTTCACCCAGCAGAGACTTGAGCCCAGATCTTCTGAAGTCCAACCACAGTCTCTATGAGTCTATAGTGGTAGCTATGCCAATAAAGAATAAGAACACTAGTAAGAAAAACTGTGACATGGCTAGAGGAGAACAGAAAATGTGCCTCATAATAGAGTATTGTTGTTAATAAACGTTAACTCAGTAAGGAGGAGATAAATGATATGGCAAGTTTTCCCCTAAATTAAAGATACTAGAAATGATACTTCTGTATAATTTTATGTAATATGCTATTTCTCCATGATTCTCTTTCTTTTTTAAGACTCCATTAGAAAATGTTCCAGGTAACCTTTCTCCTATTAAGGATCCCGATAGACTTCTTCAGGACGTTGATATCAATCGCCTTCGTGCTGTTGTTTTTCGGGATGTGGTAAGTTATGCCTGTTTGGTTTCCCGAAGAAAATCTTCCATCATCATTTGTGTAAAATAATTTAAATTTTATAAGAAAGATGCATATTAAAACTAAATGCCCTATTGTCCAGGATTGTGGTTTTATCACATACTTCTGATTGTAAAATAGTTGAGCATTAGCTTTCTCTGAAAGCTTATCAATATATTACTTTTTAAAAAGAATGTGAAATTTTGACATAATTTGTTTGTATTTTAAAAATAAGGATAGCCCTGAAAAATTATAGTTCACTTTATCTTGCATCACCTATTCCTCTTTTTCAGTATTCCTTGCTCTATCTCCAGGTACTGAATGTTTTGTTATTATCAATGTTCCTCGTATTATGGATGAAAGAGATTAAATCATTAGGTGTTACTGGCAATTACTTTTTTGGGAGGAAGACAATTACTTTTTAGTGAAGAATATGCATTTTTGAAATACAGATATCAATGGGAATTTGAGTTAGAAAGATAGCTTAATAGAGCTTAAGAGAAAAGATAGCTTAAGGAGGTTCCATGAACCCATTCAATCACATGATCACTTACTCAAGGTAAGTAGAAAATAAAACTAGCCTTTTTAAAAATTGCATAGAAACATATAGTGTTTTGCAGAAGATTCAGTATTGACAGCACTTCTTAATATAGTTATTATGAACCAGCCACTTTGGATTCTATTTTTCTTATTTAGTTGATGATTAGTGAAATGTAGAAGAAAGTTTATGTTTGAAGTTTATATTTAACAATAAGTTGAATGGAGTGTTTTGTACTTTAGAAAGTAGTCACTCTGGGCCGGCCCGGTGGTGCACTGGAGAGTGCGCTGCTTGGGAGTGCGGCGGCACTCCTGCCGAGGGTTCAGATCCCATGTGGAGACTGGTTCCCGCTCACTGGCTGAGCGCGGTGCGGGCGCAACACCGAGGGTTGCGGTCCCGTTGCCGGTCCCCGGTACGGGCGCGACACCGAGGGTTGGGATCCCATTACCGGTCAGTAAAAAAAGACAAAAAGAAAAAAAAAAAAAGTAGTCACTCTGTTTAAGATATATTAATTCTTATAAATCACTAGAAAAAATGCAAAGCACAGAGGGATAAATACCGAATATACTCACTCATAAGCGGGAGCTAAGAGAGAAGGAAGGAAGGAAAGAAAGACCACAGTGGTGGTTGGACTTGCAGAGCGAGAGAGCAGACCTAGGGATACAAAGTGAAGTGGCCAAAAGGGGGATGGGGAGGGAGGTTGGGGATAATTGGGTGGGGACACGGGGTACAATCACAATTTATAGTAATGGGCATGCTGTCAGTATGGATCTGGCCTTCACATCTTGGGCACGAGGGGGTGACAGTCAGCTTTGTATCTCATGAATTTTCTTTCTTTCTTTTTTTTTTTTTTCCTTTTTGTCTTTTTTCATGACCGGCAATGGATCGCAACCCTCAGTGTCGCGCCCGTACCGGACCGGGACCGGCTACGGGATCGCAACCCTCGGTGTTGCTCCCGCACCTCGCTCAGCCAGTGAGCAGCCGGTCTGTATGTGGGATCCAAACCCTTGGCGGGAGCGCCACCGCACTTCCCAAGCGGCGCACTGTAGCAGTGCGCCACCGGGCTGGCCCCTGTATCTCATGAATTTTCATAACCAATAAAAAAAATTACAAATGTACAAACAGAAAAATAGGCAGTAGACAAATTATGTAACACAAGGCAACAACATGATAAAAAGTCAGTATCATCAGTACCACCAACAGGAATGAGGTATTTTTCACTATTAAATAAACTAAAAATTTTAAATGATAACATGAGGGTACTATAAAAAGTTTGTGGAAAATGGAATTAAAAGATAATATGAATATCTTTATATGAACTTTTTGAAGACCCGTTATACCTCACATTGCAAAGGTACAATGAAACATGTTCTGTCATGTATCACTGGTATAAGAATATCAATTGGATAAGCTTTAGAATAACTGTTTACCAATAAGTGTTAAAACTCTCACAAATACTGATGTCCTGTGACCCAGTGGTTTCACTCAGAAGTTGTTTCACTTAATGTGTTCATTAGAGATACCTATAGGAAAATAGGCAACATTATAAATATCCAGCAGTAGAGTTTCAGCTAAATAAATCCTGCCACATTCATTCAGTTGGATACTATGCAGACATTAAGATTATATTTTAAGACCATATTTAGTGAAACAAGATAATCATGGTATATTTTAAAAGAAAGCAGCAGTATGCAAAAGTACTTCTGTTACGCAAATATGTGTGTATATTGAGTGTATGTATATGTGCACCTTTACTGAAAAAAAAAGACTGGAAAAAGTATACCAAAATTTTACCAATGATTGTCTCTGAGAAAACAGATTTTATTTTGTCTTTTATCTTTTTATACTTCTCTGTATTTTCCAATTTTCTGTAATAAACCTATATTGTTTTTATGATTAATAAATAAGTAGAATACATTATAGTTTAAAAACCATGATGTAAGAATCTCACCATAATGAGGACTGTAATCAAGACTTGGAAAAATATTCTAACATTTTAAACATTTAGAAAAGGAAAGAGTCATTATGAAAAAATGTGTTGTGAAAAGAATATTTTTTAAAATGAATGTGTGATTAAAATATGGAGCACATCTTAATCTCCAAAAAGCACAATCAGACCTAAAATATAAAATACAGAAGTTTATTTTAAGAGTGACATTATGTTTAAATTGTTACTATATTTTGAATTAGGTTATTATTGTAGGTTCTGATCATTTCTCCTAGGTTCACAGGTATTTTACAAATATATTAAATAACCCAGCAGTGGTGCTTAGCTTCCTTCCTAAAGGGAGGTAATCAAATTAAGTGTTGCCAGGGTATACCTTCCAAACACCATCAAGGTGACATAACTTTGTCTATGTTCAAAAACATAAGACCACACAACTGGTATAAGGTAGAGTCAGAATCCCAGCCAGATTTTTTCAAAGCATTCTCTTTTCATCACCATATTTCATAGATCCCAAGATAGGTATTTTTCACATTTAAATAATCTGTGAAATTTGGAGATGTTTTACAATTGATAGTATGTTAGATTCAATTGTAGATATTATGCTAAGAATTCTACTTTACTTTTGAAATTTTTATGAACCAATAGTTATTTTTAGTTGCCTTAATTTCTAAAACAAATGAGATCCAAAATTAGGTTCTTAAGAAATATAGATACATATATACATATACCATGTATATATAGTATATATAAAATATATGCATACATCTCCATAGATCAAATAACAAAATGATAGATTATAATCTTGAAGTGGAAAACCTTTTTTTTCCCCTTGACAGCCTTTCTCACCCATTTTGCTTTTTAATTATGTAGTTTTCTTAGTAAGACTACACACACACATTTAAATTTAGAGAATTAGATTTTCATGGTTTTTAAGGACTTCTGAGTTTTATTGGAACTGAAAGAAAGTGCATACTAGCTGTATGGCAGGAGTAAATTTTGATAAAATGTCAAAGAATAAATTCCTCTTCTTGATCTCATTTATTTTCTCATCATTTCCTAAGATAGTTCTCATCATTTTCTATGATGAAGACATTGCTGATTTAAACTCACGTGAACAATTTAGATCCATGGAAAATAGTTGTGTGGCAAAATTTGCTATGTGGTAAGAAAAATATGGCTTTAAAAAATGTTTTTAATATTTCTCAATAAGCTGAAATTTGAAAATAAATTCATTATGCATCTCCCTTTCCCCTGGATTATACTAGGTCACCTGTATCTAAAATGAGGTAAGGGTTAGGATTAGGGTTAAAGGAAGATGTACGAATGGCCAACAGACACATGAAAAAATGCTTAACATCACTCAGCATCTGGGAAATGCAAATCAAAACCACTTTGAGATACCATCTCATCCAGTCAGGATGGCTAATATCCAAAGACTGAGAATGATAAATGCTGGAGAGGTTGCGGGGGAAAAGGAACTCTCATACACTGTTGGTGGGACTGCAAAATGGTTCAGCCTTTATGGAAAATGGTATGGAGGTTCCTTAAACAATTACAGATAGATCTACCATGTGACCCAGCTATTCCACTGTTGGGAATATACCCAGAGGAATGGAAACCATCATGGTGAATGGATACCTGTATTCCCATGTTTATTGCAGCTCTATTTACAATAGCTAAGAGTTTGAGCCAGCCTAAATATGCCTCACCAGATGAGTGGATACAGAAAATGTGGTTTATCTACACAATGGAATACTACTCTGCTATAAAAAAGAGTGAAATACTACCATTCCCAACAACATAGATGGACTTAGAGAAAATTATATTAAGGGAAACAAGTCAGGCACAGAAAGAGAAGTACCATGTTCTCACTTATTTGTGGAAGCTAAAAATAAAGACACAAACAAATAAAGTGGGGGGGGAGAAGACACAACAATCACAATCCCTTGAACTTGTTAAGACAAGTGAACGGATATGATGTAGTTGTCAGGGGAGAAGGAGGGAGGAAAGAGGAACAGGTAAAGGGTCATGGAAATCAACTACAGTGTATATTGAGAAGTTAAAATAAAAATAGAAAATAATAAAAAAATAAAATGAGATAAGCTGAAGTAAATTTTAATCTTTAAAAATTGAATTGAAAAGTTTTCCATCATTCTAGTTGAAACATTAAAATTTTTAAAGGATTTCAGGATTAACTAATTATTCAAGATTGAATAGTGGAGAGAGTCAATTTTTAAGCACATGGGAGAAACGTAATAGAGTTCGTGTCTTCATAATAATAAAATACATAAGTCAGTCAATTAATTTGTATGTTTTTTTTTTTTTTCCTTTTTGTCTTTTTTTTGTGACCGGCAACGGATCGCAACCCTCAG